TATTCCTCTCTCCCAACTCATATGACTCTTTTACTAATAGTGAAGAAACCCTTCATTTAAAGTAACCGTAGCAGTATTGTCCAAGAAGTTTCAGTAGTATTAGATTGTCATTGAATATAAATATTATAATAATCAGCAATATTCAATACAAGAGCACTTTCTGAATATTGACTAAGAGCATTTTCTGTATATTCTTCATGTATATCAAATTTTTTTATTATGATCTATCATTCTTAATGTCATAATTACTTTAAGATTTGTTATAGTATTCAAGTATTCAAGCTTTCGTTATTGATTTCTGATGAATTTAAATAATATACTAGATCAAGTTTGAAAGAGTTGATTTTTGTATTATTTAATGAAGTAATAGATAAAAAATGAATATTATTATCTTCTTTATACGATTTATTGTTTGATTATTATGTTCAAAAGACTAAGCTGCTAAATAAAGTTGCTAAAAAAAATCTTTCAAAGCAGGTTCACTTTCTTTTAATAATTCTTGCATTTTATCAAATGCATAAATAAAATCTTCTTTCTTTATATGCTCTCTTTTATAAAGAATTTTTGCCATTTTTTAATAATTCAAAAAGAGCAAGCTTTATATTAGATATACTTACCTCCTCATTTGTATTAGACATACTTATCTTCTCCTTCACAAGATAATACCTTCTTTTTATGTTACCTTCACTAGATTGTTATTTTTAACTTTTCTTTAATTGTCTCTGTTTAATGATTGAAATCTGGTTAATTTTTCAACTTGGCATTCAATGCATTTCTTTTTCTCAGACATGTTAACAGTTGTTGAATTCAAATGGATTCAATGTATAATATTACTCTATAGTGCAGAAGCTTCAAATTTGCTTAGTGCTTCTATGCATTTTTCATAGTTAAAATGAGTTACGCAATTCTTCTGAAAAAGTATTGTGGAATATATGAAAAAATTTTTTAATATATTGTATAACATTTTCTAAAAATAGGTACAGTCTCTCCTGTTCTGTTACTCGATTTGGTAATTACAAAAATAACCAATAGTATTGCGTATTTTCGGAAATTTCTACTGTAATAAAGATTAAGGTTAAGAATGATTATATATAAAATTGTCTTCTCGACATTTTTTATTAGTACTCCGGATATTTGTTTCTTGTATTTTTCACATTTCTCGCGTTTTCATTTTTTTGTGTCGGTTTGTTTTGCCGGGTTGATCAAAACACGCGGGAGTACATAGATGCACGCGCGTAAATAAACTCGATATAGTGAATTTTTGAAATTTCGTTTCTGAACCATAATACTCATAATACTAAACAAAATCTATAAATATGTCTAGTATGTCCACGCCCGCAACCGGAAATGACCCGTTCACGTTAATTGAGAAGATTAAAAAATATAATACGGACGAACTTGTCGGTTTTTTACAAGCGGAAAACTTGGGACTAGACGAGGATGATTTGAAAATTATTCGCAGTAAAAAAGTCACCGGTCGCGTTTTTTTTAAGTTGACCGAAAACAAGCTGGAAAAATGGGGAATGCCAAGTGGTTCAGCCTTAACAATCGCGGACTTGATCAATGAACTCAAAGATAATGAGAATGGTAAGTACCTTCCAAACATACACTGCGTACGTTGACAACAACTTATACCACTTATTTCCTATATAGAGCCTCCGAGTAAACGGATGAAAGTTGAGGATGAGGATGTGAAAGTTCAGTATCATCTTTTTTTGATCACATTTCTGGGCATCACACAATACCCTACGTCTGTATGGACCTGTCCATTGTGGGACCCCTGCAGCCGATGCTTGGAAAGAGGGCCTTGCACGCCAACTAGGACTTACGCTGTAAACCTTCTAGTAAATCCGTGTGACATACTCTTTCTAGTGTATTGGACACTATGGGATTCCTACGTCTGTATGGACCTGTCCATTGTGGGACCCCTGCAGCCGATGCTTGGAAAGAGGGCCTTGCACGCCGACTAGGACTTACGCTGTAAACCTTCTAGTAAATTCGTGTGACATACTCTTTCCAGAATCCCATTTTGTCAATGCCATTGTTGTGTTTCCTTGTTATGTTTACCTTGTTATGTTTTCATCATATTAACTACTCTGACTTTTTATAGATGAGCATTCCAAATGGACTTGCTTCCTACTTCCATAGAACAAATTTTGATCATTGGACTCACATTAATTGCTTAGAATATCTAGCGAAAGTGTGTGAACATCTAACATCAGAGGACCGTAATGAGATTATTAGTCAATATAAGGCCCAGCTTCGTTCAATAAGCTCAAGTCCATGGACGCTCCGAAGAGTAAGGAACAAAGCTATTAAGTTGGCTGAATGTGCCGATGATTCATTCAAGCGTAAAAACACTGTCTCGTTTTTCGAAAGACTAGATATACAGGTATGTTTTAATTTGTGTATATAATGTACAGTCGGCATCAAAAGTAACGCCCGATTTGTTAATGTAACCAAATAGACAAATATATCCGTTTTGTTTACCC